AGGGCGCTCTTAGAGCACTAACAGATGATCCCCAGAGGAACGGGTTTGGAGTTTAAGTGCTCCACCAGCTCACACTACCTTGCAAGGAAGAATTGACAGAATCCTTTCCATTGCACTGCTTTGCCTTCTCAGACATCTTACGCATAATCTGAAGGGAAGCCCTCTGAAGCTCCAGAATTTTTCACATTCTTCTCCCAATATCCTACTTTTCTCACTTACAAAACAGTGGGTACCTATGGGGAGAGTAAGCTTTACTTTTCTCCATGCACGATCATAAATTGCAGCACTCCCCCAAAGCAAAAGACTTACTGCTAACCCATAAAAATGGAAATTTCACTCAGAATAGCTAAAATAAGCTTTTTGCAATGTGACGTAACACAGCTAGGATCTGGTTCTTGCTCAGAGAAATAGAAGGGTGGCATATTAATCTTAAACTATGGCAGTACTGTAGAATTTCAAAACCTGAAATGATATATGCAGGAAAATGAGGAATTTCCACTAGGGACACTAATTCATATATTATGGGAGAGATTAAAGAATAATAAATTTTTGAAGGAAGTATTAATGGCTATATGGGGCACTGTGAACCTGGCATTCCCTGAAGCCTGGAACTTTGTATACCGAACACTAAAAATGATTTGTGTAGGACCAGAAAACATTAGATGTTATTCTGACTATGACCAGTTACATGCTGTACGAGGTAAGAACTCAGTAAGGGAGAAATCCTCCTTTATAATTTAGAGATGAACAGATAGGATAATATTTGCCATTATGTCAAATGGTAACCACCTCTGGGAAGAAGAAAGGAGATGGCAGCACTTAGGATACTTCCCTTGCTCTTAGAGAAAGGCTGACCACAATGGTCCTGAAAATCATTAGCGATGCTGCTGTGCATTCACATGCAACAGCTTTCACCCTAAGCTCTTTACAAACTGAGGCAGAGAAGCCAAGTAAAGTGCTCACAGCGCAGGAGATGTCACAGCTTTGCCCTGGGTTTATAGCTCCTAGAGTCCTGCCCTTCTCTTGAGTCCATCATCTTTTCCTGGTGTCAATAATAATGGTACCCTTTGACTTGCATGCTGAACCCTTTATTTTAGCCTTCATGTTTGTCCATTCTGGAGATCAATTTTTTGCCAAAACAAATAAAACCTCCATTCAAAGCAAGTTAAAGGTGAAAAATGTACTGCTTCTTAGCAAAATTAATTAGAAAATACCCCATAGTCATACATTTTCCTCAGAGGTATTTCTACTGTGTTAGGAGGCCTCTTGGTGAACTGCTCTGGAGAGGACAGAAGCATGTGAGGCAGCAACCAGTGCATTATTCAGAGAATTAGCATAGGACTGGCCAGGCCACAAACAGCTTATAGCTGTACGGCCTCAAGAAGTGGTCCTTCAAGAAGAGGCATGAGGCATGAAATATTAGCTGGGGAGTTACGGGACACTTTCAGAGCCCCTTGACCATCTACCTAGGGGTCTTGCCTCTCCCAGTCTTGTATCAGCAACTCAGTCACTTCAGATACAAAGAGAAAGAGATCTGCAGAAAGGACAGCTAGGTGAAAGCACGGACTGAAAGCTACCAAATCAGCCAGCACACACTGTACTCTCCTAGCGCAGGCCAGAGTGTGTTTCTCTACACAAATTCCCTGAGGTGCTGTGTGTACCGTGTGACACTGGGGTTACCCAAGTTACTTTACTGAACGTTGTAGTAAATGGTTGCACAGAATCCAGTGTAAATACAAGAGTACAAGCTACAGCTTCCCCTGAGGAGCTTTAACTTATGCACTATCCCGTAGAACTCCCAGGTAGGGAAATGAGTAAAAAGTCTCAATGCTTTCTTATTCCATAACCCCTCCGTGGTAAAGTATTCTGCACTGAATGTTTCCATTGTTCAATATAGATGGGGGAAATAAGATTAGCTTGAGATGGAATATCCCATTTTTTCATGCAGTATGTTCTCTAGCCAACTCAAGCTTGCTGGCTTGGCAGAACTCGGGGCTCTCCAAAGACGGTGATTTTTTGATGGCTGACAAAGTTAACTTTGGCACAAACACATGCGTTCCATGCCATACCTTACCCTCAGCTGTTTTATGTAGGGCTAACGTTCTGCCAGAGCATAAGAGAACACCACATCAGCGCCTGTTTTGCCTAACAGCTGAATTGTGCCTTTGAACTGTAGCTTTTCTTTTAACAGTATTAGCAACCCAGTCCCTTATTTCTCCTCCAACTAGTCAGTGTAATAGGCAACTGCAGATATTTTTCAAAGGTCACAAATGCCATGTGGCACACGGAATCATTAACTGCACTCATCACTCTGGAATCTCAAAGGAAGAACAACACAGCTTAGAGAAAATGGGTGCAAAGCAATTCCTAATGTGGACTGACACAGAGGGTAACTTGAAAAACATAATCCTTGACCCAAAAGTCAGGAGTTAAAACACTGGTGGCTTGCAGTTCCAGGCAGAGCAAGTGGTGTGGAAAGCCCTGAAGATAGCACAGCCAGTGTAACCACAGCATGTAAGAAGTGGGAGGGTACAGAAATGACCTACGGGAAATGTCTCAATCGTCTGTGCTCTGCAGAGCCGTCTCTTGGGAGTATTTCACATGCCTGAGCAGGTGGGGAGATGGGAGATCCTACAGCCCTTCCACACTGTGCAAACGGAGGCACCTTCAGCTGAAGACATGCTCTTCTTCCGTCTGACATACCACGTGCAGGTTCTGCCGATATATGGATTGGTCAGAATGGCTGTGGGGTAGGTCAAGAAAATGCTGGTGGCATGCCAAAGTGATAACGGTGAAAGCTGCTGCAGAAGCAGCCAGCGTATTACTGAGAGTGAAAAATGGTGCTGGGAGAGCTGGAGAAGAAAGACCCAGTGGAGGTAGGCAGGGAGAAGAACCAGGCAGGGCTGGCTCATGATTTTTCTTCCCCAGGGGTAACGGCCTTCTCAAGCTGTTAGTAGAAGTTTTTGAAGTCCTGTAGCTCACAAAGAAGTAATTTCTAAGCCAGCATTGCTAGTGCAGGATTCAAAGCCTTGGTGGTTTACTACTTCTTTCCTTTGCAAAATAATCCAGGAAATTACACGCAAAATCCTCTGCCTCAACTGACTGTTACCTGGATTGTGAACTAAAGCACTGAACGTTATTGCTGGGCTTGTGGTTTCCCACTCAATCTTAATTGGGCCCCTCGTCGGTAGTCCACCGTGACAGTAGAGTACCACAGATGGGTGTCCCTTGCTATAAGACCACAGGAAATTTTCTTCTGTCCAACTCCTGCCTCATTCAACATAAAGAACGATTGTTAAAATACAGTAACCCAAATTTAGCTTCTGAAGACAAGCACTCAATGCATCTACAAAGGCTTTGTATGTAATATATGATACCACGCACAAAAATCTTTTCCTCTGGTATTTTTAGATGACTTCTGGGAATCAGAAATTAATTCTGCATACTTAGCGTGAATGTTTAAATATAACATAACTGCACCTTACCCAATGTGTGAGGTAATGCATGTTTTCTTCTTTGCTGTATGTTTGGTTTTTTTTTTTTTTTTTCCTGTGAAAAGCATGAAGGTCTCTAATCACGTAACTTAACTGAATGTAGAAATCAATCCTGAAAATCGTGTGTCTACTTCAATGCATGCGTGGCCAGCATTTTACAGGGAGACACAAATAATGAGTAATTGTGTTAACCTGGATGTTGGAACGAATACTTCAAACAGAAGAATTTTTAGATTACTCTCCACAGCACTAAAATTTCAGCAAGCCTCCCTATAATGTGCTCAAGACTCTTCAGTTCCAAATGTAACCCTCAAGGAACACATGCATAAATTATAATATATCCACTAGGGAAACCTCTAAAATACTACAAAAAAGGGGGAAATACATTTTAGAGGGCAGTCTGCTCAACTGTCTGCTTTTAAACAGCATTTCAAATCAGGAATAATTAATGGCTGAACTGTGGCTAGCACTTAGATATTATAAAGAGGAAAAAACAAAAACAATTTCTACATACTTCCATTACTGTGTAGAGAATGGAAAAGATTATCATTTGAAAATGTCTGGTGGGCTTTTTCTTTTAAACCTATTGATTAAAGTACTTACGTGCCTTGAATTTCAAGGATTTTGACCAACATAAAGATACCATGCAAACCTCTAATTCAAACATATTCACATATTGCTCATCTACTAAAATAAACAAGCTAAGATGTCCAAGGAAGACTAACATATCACCAAGGTAGAAAGTGTTGTCTGAGATCAGGACATTCTGCACTCCATTGTAGGGGTCAGGGGATCGCAGGAAAGAGATCTATGCCTTTTCCAAAAATACTTCTGGTCTAGCACTTGTGTGACAAATATGGATGCAAGTAAATATAACTGTTGATATTCCCCTGATCTACAGACCTGCCCAACAGACAGCTCACAGGTGACAGACTGCTCTTCACCATAGACACGTGGCACTTGGACATCCAAGCAGAAGCTGCCTGCACAGTGCATCACCCCTTTTCTGGCACCAGAGCTGCCCTGTCCAAGCACAGCAGGGCCGTCCAGCATTGCCAGTTTTAAGCAAACTGGCGAGAACACAGCCTCTAGGCAAAGCAGGCTTCACAGCTGATGCATGGGTGCTCTCTAAACCACAGAAATGCAAGTGGCCAAAGACTAATGCTGTTTTGAAATGCTCTTCTCAATTTCCCTGCTTTTACCTGAGCGATTATCCTTTTGCCAATTCTGATCTGGCTGCTGCTTCTTTAGTGTTTGATGGATATAATCATGAGGACATGGGGAAGGTACATTATAGTCATTTCATTGGCTCCATTCAGAATTTGTTTGCAAATACAACAAACAGCTTCTGCCACTTCAAAACAGATGCAGTCTGTTTGCAAAAATGGGAAAATGCAGCCTCCAGGGAAAGTAAACAATTCACTGGTAAAGGTATTGAGTGGGCTCAGTAACTCCATGTAAGGGATCAGCTGTGCCAGTGGGTAACACCACACAGGCAGCACTCACCTCGTGAAGGTCGCAACTCAGTGATGTTCTCGGTGGCTTCGTCATCCGAATCTTCCGTCGACACCACCTTGTACCGATTGCTGCTCTGTTTGTTCAGTACATGTGGGACCTGCAGTGCAGCCTCTCTCTCTGCAGCCAGGTCCAAATCTTGCTGAGCAAGGTGGGCTCTCAGCTGTCTGATTTCAAACTAGAAGGAAAAACAACACCACATACTGATGGCATGTAAGCATGGCCAGAGGTCTATACTCTACCGTTGGGTACCTCTTACTCGTTTTAATCACTAAACCGCTACAGACTGGTGACAGCAAATACAGTGTGGTTGAGCTGGGATGTGAGACTAAGCCCCTGATGCTCTCCCAGAGTCCATGTGAGCTGGACCATTGTTCACATAATCTAAAAATAATGACTGTATCACACTGGTCTTCTATTTTTTGTCTATATTTGCATCCTGCAGATATTTGAACAGATCTAATCGCCAAATCGAATGAAATGTTTATAAAAGACCACTACTAACAGTCATTTAGGGATTTAGATTGATGACAAATGTCTCTAACCTGACAGATTTTGTAATGAGGATTTCTGTGGAGGGAGATTCTCCAAGCAGTACCCAAAACAGTGCTCCTTCGCTAACTGGGAAAGGAGGAGGGACACCACAGTCCTCTTCCAGCTTGAAATCTTCTGTACGCAACAGTGGGCAGAACACCCCGGAGACGGTTGCCACTTTTCTGGCCACTTCCCTCAAATTTATGAGCTACGGTAGTTAATGGCTTTCTGCAATCAGGAGGGGATTTGTCTCATGACTGGTGTTGTAAAGCAGACACTTGACAAAAAGACAGAAGCTACCAGGTACCATCTGACTGATAGAAACATCACATTTCTCTTGTATCTGACAGCCACAGGTCTTTCACAATGCAAGGAAGAAAATAATTTTTCTGGAGAGGCTGCAGAGACCTTATAAATGCTTATGTAAGTGCTACAAAATCCCACTGTCCTTCCCCTCTGCCATCCAGCACAGTTATGGGGCTGCACAGCAGAGTTTCTCTTTTTTGAGCTACTTTTAAGATCAGTAGTACTGCAGTGACCAAGCCACGTCTAATTATAGAGTCTGAGAGGGAAGAGCAAATGAGGCGAGTAATAGGCAAAGGCATTTAAAATTTAGCATTGCTGGGCCTCCCGTAGTTCAGGGCCTGAAAGCCATCCGAAAGCACGATGCTAGAGCGAGCCACACTGCACCTGTCACTCTGCATTTACAACAGAGATGGAATTAACACCTCGATGCTTGAAAACTGGTGCGCAACAGCATGTAGGCTAAATGAATCTGGTCTGGCTCTTGCCTCCGAGATGCTGACTCAAATCTACTTTGCTGTCAGATTTGGGAATCCATCAGCAGACCTACTTTGTTTCACCGCGGTCCACATTGGACACGGCGCAAACCCCAGGCACGCTGCAGAGCACCAGCAGTTCCTCCAAGCTGTGTAAGCAACTGGAGGGGAAACAAATCAGAGTTTCTGCAGATTTTAGAAAGAAATAGAGGAAAGAAAAAGGGATTCCAGTTTGCCACATCTGGAGACTATCAGCTTTCTAGAACATAAGGGAAGGAACTACAATAACCGGAAGGCCCACTGCAAGACTCAAATCTAGAAAGCGAAAGGGTGGTTTGAGCTTTCCAGGACGCATTCAAACCACCTAACATAAGGATCTAACAAAGCACACAGCTTTTTCTCTGACTTGAAATCAGTGGACAGAAGTCTGGCAGCTGCACAAAATGCTCATTGCTCTTAACTGAAGGTCCTCTGGCAGTGGCACTCAGAGGAGTCAGGTATTATCAGCAAATGTCAAAATACAGCCCTACTCCTTGATTCCTTCAGCGAAACCTCCACGGCAGATCCCCGATGGTGGTTTTTGTGTTAACCTATCAGCTAGGAAGTAGCAAACCAGTAGTGCTAACACTTTTCCCAGCCTGCCATAAGCTTCCTGAGGCTTAAGGTGCCCATGCCATACCAGAGGTGCCAGTAACAACGTGCCATTAAGACACAAAAGGACTGTCTGGAGTTCAACTTTACTACACAGAGAATTTCAGGTTTTATCCCTGAGTGGGGAACACAAAACAAAACAAAACACACAAACCAAACCCAAAACAAACAAAAACCCCAAAACCCTCAAAAAACCCCCCAAAACATCTTACATTCACCTTTAAAGGGAGAAAGATGCTCTTCCAGACACTTCCTCGGTTTAAAGGAAGAAATGAACTCAAACATGATGGGCAAAAAACAAATCTGGTGATTTTTTTTTTTTTTAAATTATTGCCTAACCATATCTATTTGTCTAGCTGAAACTAAAAGGCAGTAAGAATTAGGCATCATTGCTGGTTTTCTACATTTCACATTTCATCCTTCAAAAACATTCCTGTGTGTCATAAAAAGAAATATTGCCACTAAAATGATTAATTCTGGCCTAGAGGCAGGATGTAATTTCTTTTTTCCTGGAAGTGAAAAAATCTGGCAAGTATTTTGTAACACAAATAAATAAAACTACCTAAAAGTCAGCTCAACAGTTGTATTTCTGCATCACACCCAATTTAACTAGCTTAACCATTTCCAAAGATTGGCTGAACCTCATAACAATTAAAAGCTTGAGGGGAATCACTGCGTTTTGCAAATGTGAAAAAGGAAGCACATGAGGCGATCTCTCCTGCTACAGTGAACCTACAGCAAAAATGGGGGAAGAGACCAGACTTTCTGATGCTTGCTTACATGTCCCAATTGATTAAGCAAGAATTTCCAAGTATCCACAGATTATCATCAATCTTTAAAATTTCTACACCCAGTCACCATCCAGTTTTTTAATAGATGAGCTCATAAATTTTATTGTTTAATATGACTCTGCCAACAAGCTATGAACTACTCAGCCTAGCATGCTGGACCAAGGTAGCAGTCGGCAACCATCACTGGTATCACCATGCTGGACAACTACCTTTTGTCCAAACAATCCTTTATTTTCTATTTATATGGGGAAAATTACTACCTTGGTTGAATCCCAGCCACAGAGACAGCATGAGAAACGCGATTCCATAGAGAAAATTACTACCACGGTTATTCAGGTGAACAGCTAGTGCTGCTGGCAATGGCAAAAACAGAAGGGGTTTTGCTGCCATCTTATGTTTGAAAGGCAGAAATACAGCCTTGTGCCCGCAGCTCCGGAGGAAGCACCTGCCTAAGCCCACCGCACAAATGTCCCATTCTAGCAGAAACTGAAACCTAGACCTGATGCTTTGGCGCACGCAATGCTTGCCTCATCCGCTGCCTGAGGATGAGAAGCGTATGCGCGACTTGCAAGTTTTAAAGTGATATGTGAACCCTCTTTTATTGCTAGCTACAAACACAATCCACATACTTGTCTTATTTTCAGCTCTTAACACTGAGATTGCTCATCTGGTCTAAAATCCAAACTGAACATGAGACTGTCAAGAGCAGATGTGCAGACTGAATTCCTAGGCACAGTAAAGCAGCACAGTGCTATGGACTTCAACATCATGTGCAAGGTGAATAATAGCACACAGAGGTGTTCGGAAAGGTAACAGCAGAAACTGATGTTGCCTACAAAACCATGCAGCTGCAGCTGGTTAACAGAGGCTCTTCCCTTCCACTTCTCCATTAGCTCAGATGGTCAGCTTCCAGGCGCCATTCATGCTTGTTCTGAAGTCTATGCAGTCATTACAACAGTGGAGAGCTAGAATTAAATACTGCTGCCTAACTGTAATTTTTTTGATTGACAGAGAAGAGGGTATTCATTGTAATAATGGTGTTTGTCTCACTCCCACCTTCACTGTTACTGATGTAAAGTGATCCATACAACATGCTCCACAGAGATATAGAACCATAACTCTGTTATGGACACAGCATAAGACAGAGCCAAAACACAACCCAATATACAAATGCAAACCCAAACTCTCTAAGTCTCTGGCATGTTCAAAACCATTCTAGGTGGGATGGAAAAATCACCATTTACCGTAAGGATTGATGTCAGAAAGTGAAAGGACATTCAACAAAACATCTGGGAAAAGTTGAACAAGAAAGATTTTTTTTTTTTCCCCTCAGAAAAGGCATGCATCTACTCAGGAGATCAGTTTAATATTAATTGTTACCAATTATTATTTTAAAAATCTCCCAACATTGTAAAATCTGGAATACAATTTTAGCCACTAAAAGCAACCCACTAAAAACAAAGGTTAAGTCTAAGAGAGAAGTGGGTGTTCCTTACAGGCGTAATTCAATGAGAGACTACATGAGCAAATTATGTTGTAGGTGCTCGTATCTATTGAACATCATATTGAACACTGACCTCAGGCAGTTCTAATGCGTAAAAGAGCTAATGAGATTGCTCTGACTACATGTCATGCAGTCCAGGGCAGGTTAAATAAATCATTAAAAGGTATAAAATGTAACAGTCTTTTTAAGTAAAAATTCTGGGCCAAGTTAAACACATGAAATTTCTATTTGCAGTAGGAGTTGATGTAGCTATCCAAATGTAGACCTGATTCTCTCTAATAGAGAGTACTGCAGGAAAGCTATACTGAGAAAACCCTGTTTCATAGTTTCAGGTAGACCATCCTTCCTTCAGCCGGTAAGGAAGGATGCATATTATGCATATCATAAGGGGGAAAAAAAAAAGCATATAAATATTAAGATTTACAGGTATCAGCTCTGTGTTAAGAACACTGTAAATCCCATAGAGACCCAGTGGGCAAATAATGCAGTTGTGCGGAAGATACCTTCTTGTGATCAAGGTGAGCCACCTCCTGACTCAAGATATTACAAACTGAGCACTGGTCCACTTGAGACTGCTACTGACATAATTTACCAGGACACCTATGATATTCATAAACTTTAATTACATATACTTTGGTACCTTCAGGTGGGTTCCTTTATCAATAAGTTCCTAACATACTTCGCAATGGAAAAAATATATTTGAAAACTTCATAGAATCACAGCATAATCTAGGCTGAAATGGATTTGTGAGGGTCATCTAGTCCAACACCCCACTTAAAGCAAGTCCATTTAGCTCAGGTTGCTAAAAGCAACTGTCCTGTCAAGTTCTGAATATCTTCAAGGTTACATATATCACAACCTGCCTGGTAATCTGGCTTCTCCTAGTGAAATGTTTGTTCTTATATTTAATAGGAATTTTGCACATGCCAAGCTTATGTACTGCTGCTGTGCACCTATGAGAAGAGCCTGGTTACACTGTCCCATGAGGGAGCTGAAGACATCCATAAAGGTGTAATAGACATGGTTAATGTGAAAACACACTTAGTGTCAAGAAAAAGGGAGATACAGACCATCTATTGAGACCAAGTAACTAGATTTTCAGGCATAAAGAGGAAGTTCATTGACAGTAAATTTAAACTTAGTGTTTTCAAAATTTGTTACATGTCCTCTTGTAGCACAAACAGCAATATTTTGGCAAGAAACAAACTAAAAAGAACTATGGGGCACACCTGTGCATTTCCTCACTCGAAAAATGCATTAGGTGATTATTTATAAGCAGGTAAAGTGACAGAGCTTTAGATAACATCTCTGTTTACATGCCTGGTTTTATAAAGCGTGTCACCCACCCTCTCTGATATTTTACAACATGCATGTAAGACTCAAAAAGGGACCTACCAGTGAAACATATAGTACTTCTGTTTAATGGTCTAGAAACAGAGTATGATTGACAGTTTCAGAGAGATCAATGAACATTTTAGCCAGAAGCTTACTTGTGTCTAATGCAGGAGCAATAATTTTACTCAATTCTATTAGTGCTGTCTGTACAGAATGCCCTGCCCTAAAACCCATCTGCCACTGGGATACAATCCAATGTTTATTTCCATTAGTTTAGCCATTGTTGGTAACAATAAAAATCAGGAGACAGTTGCAAACTAATGATTTACGGGCAGAATGAAACACGGGATGACCTTGGCTGCCTTCCATTCACCAAGAAAATGACTGGTAGTTAGAAATAAATTAAAATTATTGCAAAAGGATAACATAAGTTATTTCTCCGATAGGTAATTTTACCTGCTAAATAGCCCTGTCATTAAACTAGCAGCTGTTGTACAAATTATATTCCAAGATAAAAAAAGAAATTATAGCCTCCATAGTTGTTGCAGCTTTGAGAATGATAAAAAACCCAATCCTATAGGAGCTGACAGAAAAGGAGCTCTTGTGATAAGGCTGAACACATAGTCTTGGCTGGACTGTACTCAGCTGAATGACTCTTATGAAAGTTAAGCAGAAAAGATCATGTAAGTAGATCTATTATTAGAAATGGAAATTCCTCTACAGGTGATTCCAGAGGAAAAAAGCAATCTTCCTTGACTGCAATTTGCATTGCTAATGAAACTCTGGAACTTTGTTTTGCAACTTAAGCTATTCTGATAAAACAACACCATCAGTAATATACTCTTGTTCATATTTTTAGCAGTAATTGCAGTGACATTCTTCTACCTTTTAACCTTTACCCATTTTTAGAAATCCCTGTTACTATGATTGTTAATGTTTCTCATGTTTTGTGAAGTCCTGTACAGCCATCTTAGTCCTTTCAGTATTTTCTGCCTTGACTGCTCTCATGCTCCAATCTCTTTTAATGACTTCCTTCTTGGCCAATGGAGAGTAAATAAAACAGCAAACTATTCAAACAGTTTCAACTGAGGTACTACAGAGAACAAAGTGGTGGTCCGTGCAACTATGGTTTAGAAACTATATTCTGGTTTTCAGATATATGGCTAGCCAAAAATCAACATCTGGAAAGAGTTTTCATGTTTGCAAAAGTACATCTCCAATGTCATTCAGGAATGGAAATGTACTTTATAGTACCTACTCTATCACCGGCCAAAAAAATATACAACTGACAAAAGAAACAGAACTCAAAAAGATGAAGGGAGGGTTGCATCTTTCCTGCTTTTATTTTTTTAAAGCAGGAACTCTAATTTTGCCTGTCAAGTGTTAAGTACCAGCTTCAAAACAGGAGGGCACGGGACTTCTCAGAGAACTGGTCACCAGCTATTTTTTTTTCCCCCAGCTTCTCTTCAGAAATACTGAATATTTTGTCTCAAGCTTTCAGACTAATTTAATCTGCGGAAGATGCCAGACCTTGAGAATTTCAATCCCAATTGCCTGACAAGCAGGAAAGCAGTAAGAAACTGAACACAGGATCTCAGAAAAGGAAGTGCTAGGAAATCTTTTTAACAGGAATGTTTTCAGCCCTGTCTATAACTATTAAATACATGTAAATCATCAGTGTGGTCACAAAGACGCAGCCTCAGGATGAATCAGTACCTACATCCACTGCTGGGATGTAGGCAACCACAGTGGCTTGCCCATTCTTTCTACCTGGGCTGGCACTGGTGTGCCCCAGCATGTCTCTGAGGCAACAGGTTGACTCCTATGGGCAGCTCCCAGCCAACCCACTCGCCCGTGCCAGAGGTGGCACCCCACAGGCAAGGCAAACTGGAATCTCTCCCTACCAGCGCTCCAGATTTGAGAACAGCCAGACTACTCCGGGGAAACTTTCACTCAAAAACACAGACATGCACACTTAAACTCCAGAAATGAGCAATCCTTTAAAAAGGTCAGGAAAGAGGAACAAATGAAAAAGCAGAAACCTGGCAAAATTTTAGATATTAAATACAATTAGGAGACATTTTTCCCACCAGATACTGTACACAATGTTAATGTGAATGTTATAATGCTGACAACTTGTTCTTGACTGAATTATGACGCTAATAATTTACAAAGGAAGGATGCAGTACTTGTGTCAACGTCTTATGTTGCTAACTGTAGCAAATTAGTACATTTACCTCATATTATACAGCTGAGACATTTGCTTGGCAGGAAGTCAGGACAGTAAAATAGGAGGGATTAGCATGCTGTCATTTTTCAATAGTCCACATTTTTCCATAGTGGATGACACTTGAAAGCTAGGAGAGAACCTCCTCTGTTTTCACAGATTTACTCATCTACCAATGCAGTATTTCTTTGTGCTTGATGTACAGCTATGCTGTAACCATCAAAGCTCAGACTGGGGCTACTATGCTCAGACATTTTGCAAGCCAGGCATGCAGATAAGGAGTACATGGATTAGAATGGAGAGCAGCAAAAACTGCTCCTGAAGCCCACTTGTGGTAACAAACCCACCTTTCCTCAAAGACTATAAAATAGTAACACTGAAAATTGCATTGAGATTGTTATCTGGCTGCATAATACATTTCCTAACAATGAATGTTTTCAGATTTATGATTGTCAAGAACTTTAGCCTAATAGCATGGTCTGACAGACAAAATACTGCAACAGGACTCAAGAAATGGCTGATTTTCCTAGCGTGTTCAGTCAAAGGATAATCCCTCCTCCTGTAAAATAGTGCATATATCATTTCTCTGTTCATTTCACAACCACGACAGAACTGTGAATCACTTAATATCGTAGTGCAAAGTTGTCATGAAGAGGACCGCAGTTTTACAACTGAAGATACTTACATAGTTGGAAGTAACTAATTTTTGGCAAAAGTCAAGCCTAAGGTTTAGAAATTTATTATTGCTAACGTGAGAGACCCTCAAAAACAGTGTTACCAAATGACACGTGCTGCCAACAGTTTTCCAAACTGATCACACAGACAAGGCAACCTAACGCCAGCAAGAGTTCATTGCAGAATCTTTGGGTGAGATACAGGAGACCTGGAACTAAATTTAAAGAGCCATTGGGGAATCTAAATACCAATGGTTTCACAAACATGTTAGGTTCCTTGGTAAAAGATGGCCACCTAAATCCCTGTTTCAGATTATGCACCTTTTGTCTAGTTGGTCTGTTCTAGGACAAATTGCCTCTCCTTCTCTCTGCTCAGGCCCTTCAACTTTCTGACTGATCGAGCCATTCATATTTACAGGTCTCCTCATTTTGTATTTGAAAAGCATCTAACCACAAGTGGGGAATGGGAGTTGAAGCTAGAAATCTCCAGGATTTATTTGGACAGCTCATAGTTAGCCTTAACAACTAATTCAAGAAGTCAGTCACTTGGGGGATCATTCTGTTGTGGTTTGACAGTCACCTGAATGTCTCGCTTAGCCTTGGCCTCAACATATTGCCTTGATTTCTGCTTTAAAGCAGGTTATTCAAGAACTCATTTTCATAAGACAGACTGCAAAAACTCCCTGGCTCATTGCCCTAACAATGGTTTTACACCTTTTTCAAGTAAATATATTAATTTGAGATATTTTAAGCTTCACCTTCCCTCACCTCAAGATGGAATCACTGAAGGTTTGGGCGTCTGGGAAGAGGCTTAAATCTTGACTTGCTTCCAGGAACTAGAACCTTCCCTTACAACACTTTGCGTCTGCCAAAAGAGTCTGACTGACCTACAGGGAAGCTGTCTTCTGCATTTAAAGCAGGGAGATTCATTAGCTTTCAACTGTGTATACTTTTCCTAGTAATATGGTCTTAATATAGCTGCAGTCTCCAACAATAGCAATGACTTTTGCATATTCTTAGTATTACGTCAAGCTATCTGTAGTCATTCAGTATATTACCTACTGGAAGAATTCTTTTTCTATTCCTCAAATTTGTTTTCCTCACCTTAAAAAACTCAAGCACAGCAGGAGAGGGAGCAGAAGGAGACAAGCAACATGCTGACAATATCCTGGCTGCAGCTAATTCTTCCTTAACACCAAGACCTGTCACCTTACAGCAGGAGTCCTAGTGATACTTCTCAAACCTTAGTTTGCAGCAAAATACACGAACTGGTTGATTTGCCATGACAAGCTATGCATAAGTAGACATAACTGAACTTTACCCCTTGTTCTTGACAGATTTGGGTTAGTCTTTCCAGCTGCTCATCTTGAATAACCTTTGCCTTCTCATATTGCTGAATCATCATCTCCATCTCCACTTTCACTGGAAGGACATAGGCTGTAAAACATAAATAAGCACTAAAAGTAACCCAGACGTGATTTGGTGGTTTGTTGTTTTTTTTTTTTTTTTGTTTGTTTTGTTTTGTTTTTTAATATCAGAGGGAAAACCTTTACAGGTCAAAGAACGTCACTCCTTTCACTCGCATCTAGAGAACTAGAGTATTTGTTATAGAAACAGAATTAGAGGATCTCTTCTGGGGAAGGATTTCTACTATGTGAAATGCAGGTCATCAGACAGATCTAGATCTTGTTTGGTCAAACCTCCATTTGCCTGGCTGAGCTGAAATGCATCCTGCATGCTCTTCTTAGCTTCTGCTGCACTAATACAGATATTTTCCAGTGTTTACCACAGTTTTCCTGAATTGCTGGGTAGGAAGATTTTCTGCTTAGATTTAGGCCCATCCCCTCTAAAACCTAAACGGCATTGCTCCCTTAGGAAAAGAACTATTCCAGACCCCATAGCATTTAATTCCTAGACTTTGTGGTAAGAAATAAGTCCTTAATGGAAATAGCAGGCTAAGAAGGATATTTTAAAAAACAAAAAAGGCATTTATCTTCTACTGCTTTTCAAGCTACCATTTTCAATAAGCCTTCTGAATGGCTCTGGAAATTTTGCTCCTGTCATAACTGTGGCAAACTGAGATTGATCAACAAAGCTGTTCAATTCATACTGCAATTCTTGATGTTTTCTGAAGCTACACAAGATCCTGACCTTTTCTTGTATGCTTCAGTCAGAGGGCTATGACCTTTCTTCAACTCTGAATACAGAGTTTCCTGGGCATCTAAACCCAAAATAACGACTTGACACATGAGCAACCCTTCATTTATTCCTTTTCCACTTCTTTTCCCTGTAACCTGAAATGCCTGAAATCGCTGAACAAAGTAGCCTATATTAATCTCCTTGCTTCCAGGCACAGTCACCGGTTCTGCTCTCTTCAACCTTGACTTGCTGGGGCTTTATCATCTCCCCTGGTGCTTCCCCACAGACGTCTGTGCAAAACAATACCGATACATGCTTCATTATTATGCTGTACAGCACACCGGCATTGCAGAGAACACCTTCAGCATGGAAACCCCATGGTAAGAAAATGCTCCTGGAATCCGACATAAAAATTATATTACGCACAAGAACATGGAAAACAAAACCCCAAGACAGAGCTAGCTGTATGGAAATGGGGAGGGTGCAGCAAATATCAGAAAAGCAGATTGGAAGCAATTATTTTGCAGAATCAGGAATGGCATCTGGTGGCAAGAGACAGAAAGCAGATCAAGGCATTTACTTTACAGGACAAGGGATATGAAGGTGCCCAAAAGAAAAAACGAACCAATCAATTATAAAGGCTTCTAGGGAACAGGAGATACAGACATGAAGTTGAGATCTACTCTCCTTCACAGGAGTCATAACTCTCTTCTGTTCAGTGCTTTTAAAATGTAAGAGGAAGGAGAACGATGGTGTTAAGCAACCTTTTCATATTTTAAAAATTACTTTTTTCCCAACCTACCGGGTACTTCTTGGAGTCAGAAACTGAATCACCACTCACCATCAATGATCCTCTTCACTCTCCATATTCGCAGTGTGATAATAAGGCTGATAGCATCCCATGGGCTGCTGGGGCCATTAGCCACTGTTGAGGCCACCATTGGTGCCAAGGACAAGATTATGACAGCACCATCAAACACCTAGAGAGAAATCAGTTTTTTCAGACCCTTCCTGAAGATCATAACCCTGCCATTCCTGCTTGGGGTCTTGAAAGGGTCCCACTTTGTCCAAAAGAAATGCAATTGTGGTACGTATTTGAAAGGGATAGGAGAGGTGGCCAAGCCACAGAAAAGCTGCATCCTTTTTAGGTAGCACAACAGAATTCCTTAGTGCATTTTATGAGGTGTGAAGAGATAAACTGTGATGGGAGGACAGCGAGAGAGAAAGGTATTTAGAAATACTGGCCAAAATCCCCAAGCAGAAGTGATAGCCTAAATGCCATTACAGCTAAAGAGTTTTATTATCACTGGTATTTATTACCTGTTACTTGGCATAATGATATCCCGGAAAAGGATACAGTCCCTGCCCATAGATCTTACTGTCTAAATGAAGAGATCAAGAAAACAAGTAGAAAAAGATGGAGCAAAGAGACTTGATGGCTCTTGGCCACGTCCTGACTACACAATGTGTGTGGCAACAGCTGTGCGTCAAGACAGAGAGACTCCCTGCTCTCACCTTTAGTGGGCAGCTAGGTTTTCAAGGATTTTGACAACTGGGAATACTCTGAATGATTTGTATGACATTGGCTGCACTGGGATTAGATCAGAAAAGGCAGTTGCGAAAAATATTAGACAGAAATGCGTAAACATATTTCAGAGCAAACCGGCAATAGTGTTGCGTCTCTCCTACACTCGCCTAGCGGGACAGAGCAGAATACCACGTTCTCATGCCTTCTGAGATCCTTCTCAGCTGCCAAAAACCATTGATTAATGATTTGCATAAGGAGGTAGGACATAGATTTTATAAGCACTACACATTCAGAATTGAGCATAACAATTCAGTGTATTGAAAAGAAACACTTCTTACTGCCACCATTTGACAGGCGGTGAGCAATATCACTCTATTCCAAATTACCAAAATGAATTATCAGAAACTGCTGCATTTAGCCTCAATAATAAGAATCTCTGAAACAATAATTTAAGTTTCACTCCAGTTTTTTAGCAAAACAAGGTAAAAGATTTACAACTTTATTACAAAAATGTGCAAGCCTCTAGACTCACTTAAGCTCTGAGAAAACCCCTATCTTCTTCTGGTGCATTCTGTGCAGTATTAGTTTATCAGACAGTATCACAAAAGACCTTTTAACTTTCCTGATCAGATTGGGATTATGTGTTACGTATAACAAATGCATTTCCTTATCTGCCTCTGCAACAGTATGCGCATTCTACCTCATTTTTAATTTGAGATACAAATTACAGTGTTTATCATAATTCAATTTCATTAAAAAATAATTTCACAGTAAGATTAGGGGGTTTACCAAACCAGATGTTTCTATCAGAAAACTACACACGATTTTTCAACCAGTTCTAACTGCAACTTGATTACAGGAATAGGGTTACACAAGTCACTTGACAATTTTAACTCGTATTGCTTGTTACCTCAGGGTAGCAGTTAGACTAGCATAGCTCTAACAACAAAATGGACACAAAGCAAAAATGCCACAATCCCTCCCTTAATAAAATATTTCCAAATATTGCACTCTTCTGAGTCTCTTATAGAAAAAGGAACTGCATCATACAGCTATGTATACCCGCATATAATGAAAACAATGTGTGTATCAGAGTTAAAAGATACTGTATTGCATCAGGTCCATAACAAAAACACCCAAAGTAGTTCTCAATATTCTTACTGTGTTTGCCTAGAAAAGAGTATGAAGAGTAAGAGTGCTTACCTCTATTTTGTTTTCAATGTAATCCCATATGCCAAGGACCACAATCCTCAAAATAGTCTAGTAAAATAGATTAGGGGGAAAAAAAGATGATGAATGCTGTTGTAATGGTAGATAAACATTTAGTCTTTTATCTATTTAGTCGATCATTTTTTGTGTCATTTAAGCATTATGTATTTCTTCTGAATAATAATGAGGATCTAGAAATAGTTACACTTCTGTATTATAAAAGCAGGTATTGCTTTCCAACCACTATATTGACTCAGTGAAACTTCCATAAACAAATTCCAAGTTCAAATGTTCATCAGTCTCTTCACCCTCCTAAAATTTCACGTTTAGATTTGTGAGATTTAGATTACCAACCCTCCACACCTCACCCCCTGACCCAAACTGATATAAGATCCACTGTGGGACCCCTTTAGTTGTAATGGGAGAAGATTCCCTTTTCTTGCTATCCTTGATATGCAAGTGCTTCCTATTTTCTAAGAAAAGATAAGAGACACTGGTCCCTCTTGATGCCTATAGATACCAACATTTCATCAATCTGAAAGCCATAGGATAACGGAGAAAAATATCTCTGTGATCCTCCTCTGAGGTAAAACACCTATAAGTAGCATCAGTAGCTAGAATAGAGGGATAAAGAAAGAACACAGAATGAACCAATGGTGAATTCCCATTAAAAAAAAAAAATCCAATGGCATCTTTCCTAATTTTTAACCCTGCTTTCAGAAGACAAAATAAAATAAAATAAATCAAATCAGACAACTAATGATTGAAATTGAATTCACATAAAAGCCTAACTGGTAGGGATGTTTTCTGCCAATAGCAACATGTCACGGTCAGATTTTGACAGACACTACAGACATGAAGAGTCTCACTGCAGCTGTGTGGCTTGCAAAGAAGATCAAAATGCTACTTTCTCCATTAAAGAATGGTACTAATGATAGAGAGCTTGGCAGGCCTATGTGAGAGGTGTGATCATGCCAAGAACTGTGCAGAAAAAAGTAAGTTACTGTGATGAATATATGTAACTCTTCTTCATTACAAATACAAATACATTAAATCTCAACCAACTCTGAATTTATGCCAAACATACCAGCACTAACTAAATGCAGAACAGCACTGGATTTTTCAGTACTGTTCCTATGCATAGTTTTGCCAAACCCCATGAGCCCAATTGTCTCACTTGGCCTGGGATGACTGTGCTGAGCTCTATCTTGGCACTCCAAACCTGGATAAGAGTACTTAATCCTGATTTGCAGAGAGAAGCATTGCCGTGGGAGATATGGTACTTTCAGAACCCACCACAAATGAGAAGGAAAGTGAACCAGCCAATGCTTACTCAGAAACGGCGTATGTGAAGCATTAGCCAAGCCTGGCTGAGAAGGGGAGTCACTAGCCATAAGAGAAAATGTAACACGCTCTTCCTTCTACAACAAGTTATGAGACTGCATAGACACAAAGAACTGCTAACGTTGCTGGTCTGTGCACCCAAAAAGAACATTTTCCTTCCAAAGCATTTTACAAATGCAGCATAGGAATAAGGCTCACAGCAATTTCCTTACTAACTTATATGCTCAAGGTTTATATGTGGAGGAAGAGATGCACAACAGCAGCTCCTCAAATCCCTTAATGACTCCAAATTCACCAGCATGATGTGATACAATCTAAGTGCAAGGTGTAAGTACACATGGTGCTGTACAACCAAGGCAATCCTGCAGCCTCCAGGGAGGCCCTGAGCAGAATACTTTCAGACAAAAGCATCCCAGCTCCTCTGTAAGCACCTCCCTCACTCCCCACTGAGAAGCTGCACAGCATGCTTAAGTACCAATTATTCACCAGCCCTTAAATTCATCTATATTAGTCGACCTGGGATCCACCACAGCAAGTTCCACGGCAGGCGCTCATTGGGAAACACAAGAGGAAAAGCAATGCCTTCTTTAAAACTCGGGATACTACCCTTTCTACAGCAACTCTGTTGACAGCATAGAGAAATCTGGCTCATTTTCTTCTACGCTTAGGCCATATTTACAAAGTGAGTCAATGAGCAACTAACTCAAGGAGGTTGAACACTTAACACCTTTACAGCAACTGATGGTAAAAATCTTTCTTCCTTTGGACAGATGAGCACAGAGGTATTTGCACTGAAATAAGGCAAATCTGCACAAAGCAAATAGAAACACTGTCTCACAACCCTAAAGAAGATTTAGCATGGGGCTGTTGAGGGAACATAAAAAAGGATTTTCCTTTCTGCCATTTTAATTCCTCACTGCAGTGTTTAAATCAGACTGTGCTACTGTCATATTAATGGGTCTGAGCAGTTCCAAGGGCTGGAAGCTAGCACAAATATTTTCATTTTCAGTCTGCTGGTGTGAATCAGCACAAGCCAGCAATGACTGGAAGTCTAATCAGCAGACATTTAATGCAGTGATTGTTGTTGGTGCTACCTCTAGAAGATAGGCCTCCTCCTCACAAAAAAAAAAATGCCTTGGTGATTAGCATCTTTGCTCTCGGCTAAAACAGACACACTGTAGGGAGAGTGTGGGGGCAGAATGAACCTGGTTTGCCATCTGAGAGAAGCACTCTTTGGAACAAACTGATCACAACTAAAGTTTAGGCTTTAAAAACATTTGCTCTGTATGGAAGGCCTTAAAGCTATGCACCAGCACTGTCACTCATAACAAAAAACCCCACATCCCCTCAGAAGTGACAAGAGCCACCTAAGGCAGCTTTTCCTGGGTGCCCTGGGGGAACCGGGCGCCCCAACAAAGTACGATGAGTGACACACAGACTGCGTGCATCTGGAGACACAGGTTCCATACACTTACTGCCCACTGGCCACTATTCACTAGTGGCAACTCCGAACTAGGTTTAGCTTTCTCTGCCCTCCCTCTGATCGTATAAAGCATGAGATCACATCCACTGCTGCTGCCGTAACTCCTACCCAGAGGAGTCTGAACCAAGCAAATCTGGACTGCACTGGACAAACCTCCCGGACTGTTGAATATAACAAATACATTGACTGAACTGAAAGCATTGGTATTACTTATAAACATTTTAGTATTTCTCCTAAGAAATCAAAAATATCTTTCAAACAAATACATATTGCATTTAATTGTGTACTTTCTTTGCACAGAACTTAAAAAATAAGAACCTGTAACAGCATCTGAAAAAAACAGAGACAGAAATTAATAATCCAGGAAATTTCCTAAGCACTGTACATGGACCAAACTGAAAAATGCATATGAATTAAAAGAGAATTGCAACTGTAACATTCATCACAGCCAAAATATAAATGTTTGTCACAACCCTACCATCCGCAGTCACAAGAATCAGGGAAAAAATGGAGCAGCACTGCTGTTTCCTACTGATGTGCGGGCATTTTTCAGCACTGTAGCAAATGCACACACATAATTTTGCATTACACTACAGGCATTCTGCATTTTTGGACACACAGATTTGAAAGCAAAAAATAAAGATCAGTGTGAGTATTCTTCTGCTGAAGGCCACTGCCAGCTTGCTTTTTTTGTACTTGTAGAAGAATGCTTTAACATTTCTTGACTGGAAGTCTTTTATTTAGAAAGTCCTTAACATATATATATACATTTTACTTATATCAGAAATACACTTTTAGCTTTTTTGAGAAAAGCTACATTACTAGATAAAAGTCTGGCCAGCACACTAATAAAAGGTACGTAACTGAACACTTCTGTTACCTTCTTTAAGTTAGGGTAAACCCAAATAAAAGTAAATTTTTAAAGCATTTTTCAGAATTAGAGAAATGTAATTTCAAAGTTGACAGTGCCCCTCGGTGACACACAGCTGTGTGCACATTAACTGTCTGCAGTGAAGTTTATGAAGAACTGTGTGATGCCATGGGTTTTCTCTCTAATTTTGTAGGGAAACTTGGCCAACTCCTTTGCTGAGCCAGCTGTGTGAATTCCCACAATCTGCATGAGCTAGCTACATTTGTCAACTGACTTCAACGTACATTAGGTAATTTTAAATACTTTTTTGCTTGCACAGTTCATGTACAATTTACTACTCAGTGATTCACTGTGCCAAATTCATCCATAGTGTAAAGAAATCAAAAGGAGGCAGCACAGGAGGTGAAGCTGTCCCACCAAATTTAGCTGACAGCAAACTAGAGCAACTCTGTATTTCAGGATGGGGTAGCAACTGTACAAGAGAAAGACAGGATGGAGTGGGGTGGAAAGGGTGTCTTTAGAAGAGCCCTTCCTTTCTTCCACTGCCAAAACCTAATCTACTTGTTATAGAGGGTCTTTACCTCTGGCTTTTACAGAAACTCTGAAGATTACGTTTCTGCGTTTTGGATATATCTCATAAGACCAAATATTTATTGAAATCTTTCCCAGAAAGAACACCTCGTACCCAATCTGTAATTTATAATCTCTCTGGTTTGGGTCACTCTGCAGAGGCCTTAGCACATTCACTACTTAAAAGAGTCTTCTTTTGCCATCTTCTGGTGTGCCTGTCCTGAGATACTGCATCAGCTGTTCTAGGGCACAATAGCCCCAGGCCACCGGAGCACAGAGGAACGTGTTAGCATCTTTAAACTGAGACATTCTTCTGTTTCCAATGCATAGGCATCCTCTTCACACATTTTCTCTTCAATCAAGGCTCTGAAAGGAAACTCGTAGCTACTGACCTCATCTCACATAATACCCAGTACAAAACACTCCCCTTGTACTGTATACTCTGTAGCTGCTGTGGCTCTATTAGCACGTGTGGTCACATAGAAATAATGCACTGCAAAAGCCTGGAGACACTAATAGACATGAATTCAGTATATTCCTTCTCACTGCCTACCATTAATATTATTATGATATCGCATAGTATCCAATGCACCTTGGCATGAACACTGCAGTTCTATTTGTTCTTATGTTCTCCCATAATATTTTTTCTTAACATATGGAGAAAAATAATGATTTTTAAACTGACAACTCTGGATAGATTTGAAAGGGCTTTTCAGGAATAGAAATGGCTTACTACAGATGCAGTATGCTACCATAAAGTAAATGCAGGTTGGATAGAAAATTAGTCTTACGCAACCCTGCATCAGAAGTTCCCTCTGGGCATGATTATACTAGCGCTAAGTCTCGTCTTTGAAATGCATTGTGTAGAAGGTACTGGACTGTCACTGTCAAGAGATGAAAGCACAGATGAAGCACAGATAAAGCACACCATATAAGTCAGGTACATGCTTGGAAATGAAATGGGCAGACTGACATTTCAGGAAGGTGTCTAGCTAAATTCCTGGACTTCTGCAAAACCATTTTCCCTGGTAACTACTTTTTTTGTGAAGCAAGAAAAGTGGTTAGAAGAGAAATTTCACAGTATGTTAAATATTTAAGTTTTTACACAGTAGAAAAGAATGAAGCTTAAATTTACCTTTATAAATTATACTAGTATATAAAATCCATATCTTTGTTCCTAACTCCTCCCTTATCCTCCCCTCAAAAATCAGAACATGCACAGTCAGCAATGCAGTGCATTTGTGCACCTTGAGAAAAGTTGTGTGTGCATGGAATGAAAGTAAACATCCAGGAAAGAAGCTGCAGCTTATGGAAGAATTATAGAATTAATAGAAGATTATTATCTTTCCACTCAGCTGTTTGAAGCTCAAAAAAATGTAACAGAAGTAACACAACTGGTTTCTCTAATATAAAATTATTAATCTGTTATGAAAAATCTATATGGGAAAGACACTATTTTCTCTTAGTTCTGTCATTTGGGATGTTCTTCCTTTTTAACAGAACCCTAATAGTAGGGTCTTCCTTAGGAGGTTTTATTCCTTCCAGTGATTGCTATTAACAAGGAATAAAGTGTCAGACTCTTAGGAACACTTCCTTTTAACATAAAAGATGAGGAAAGTCTTGGGTTTTTTTCTCACTCTTAAAACCGAAAATCCGAAATGCGCTTGTGAGCTATAGCGAATGAAACAAATTATTTACCAGCTAGGATCCTAGACTTACTCTACTCAATTTGAGAACTGGTTTCTTGGAACACAGATGCAGGAAAAAAAGTAGCAATTCTGTGATTGCCTAACTTTAAGCGCATCAGAAGACTTGGTTACTCCCAGGGAAACACTCAAGTGCTGAAAGCTAGCAGAATGCCCGAGTGCTTGGCTGACTGAAGCACATACAGAGCAATGCAAACAACTAATACCAAACAACTAAGTTCTTGCACGCAAACGGTCTCATCAATCTTAGTGGAAAAGCAGAACTGAACAACAGCTATAGAATCAAATATTTGTGGCAATGTGATAAGACTATTAAAACACAAGCAGACTCCGATCCACTTACCAAAACACTGTGATATGCCCCATCTTCCTTTTCTCAGCCAACTATTACCAAGGCTGAATTTGCCCTCTTGATAAGGTGTAACCCCGGCCTTGCCTTGCTGTTGGTACTGGGGTTTCCCCCCCCAGTGTCTTTCTCTTCTCTTCTGTCTTAACATCTGGGTAGCATTTGGTGCACAGACAAATCATAGTGATGTATGTAAACAGAGACAAACATACACAATCATCACCACTAGTAAATCCTGTTCAAATACTTGGAAAAAGCAAAAAGACCTGATGTGCACTTCACTTGAATAAGGATATTTCAATGTTGGAAAGTCACAGACAGTGACAGAAAATATAAAATTAACAGTGCAATAAATTCCTTTAAGGCTTGTAGCTATAACACAAGTGTAGAGAGAGCAGGAAGATGCTGTGAGAGTAGCTACTTAATTTTGTTGGCAGCTGTTTTGCTGGCATTTGCCAGCTGCTGGCATGTTTGTCCCCTTCATTTTAACCAAGCAGAAAGCCAGTGCCTGTTTAACTCCAACATGATAGGAGTGTAATTACTTGCAATGCCTTTATAGCACCAGCTTTTAATCAGTCATATTTTTCCAAAACATTCAGATTTTGTGCAGAAAGTTTTCTGGTTTTTAACAAGTCTTTAACAGCTTTGTATTATTTGTTCTCTAAGTCTGAGTTGAGCCCTTTCTGAAGAATTGTATTTCCACACTCACAACTAATGGGAACCAAGCTACAGAATAAACAATAAACATCCAAACTTAGGACATGGTACTTGCTATGGAAACAACCCTTTCTGAACACCAGAAACCCTGAAACCTTGGCTTTGAGGAAAAAGGCACTGACTGAAGGACTAATCAATCCTCAGCAGTTGCCTGTTATATCCAAGGAAACTAATTAACCCTGCTCGTCTCCGAAAAATCATCCTGGCATGAATAGTCACAGACTGCAAAATCTCTCTATAACACAAGATCTTCTCAACAAATAATTGCAAACAAAGACAGCTGACTCATGGTATTGGGCATCAGAGAGCAAAAAAAAACATCCCCTAAAGGCACCAAGAGAATAAATAAAATAAAGATGGATGAAAAAAAAATAATAATGTGATCTGCAATTTTTGCAATATTTTGTAACTTCTTGAAAAATTAAAGTTTTTGATTTGGACGGGAAAAAAATTACACCCTCTGTTTTTCCTCTGATGAGATGCATTTCAACACAAACAGATGTGCTGTTGCTCATTAAACCAACCTGGCACAAGGCCAACCCCAGCAAACCCAGTAGGAAAGGAACACCTTCATTCTCCTCCAGACCAGTGGTCTTTGAAGCACATCCAGTTGCTGTGTGGAGCCACCTCTGTTGCTTTAACCTAGTCGAGGACTCTGAGCTGCCAAGAAAACCAATATCCAAAAACCTACCCTTCTCTGTGCACTTTACACAGTTGCCTTGCGGCCTCATTTTTATTTGGTGTAAATTCAAACCATAATCAAATAGGTGAAGGAAGATACTTTGGAAGACAGAAACAGATAATAAGGTGAGTGGTAAGAGGTTTATAAAAAATGAGAACAGCAAGTAGACAGAGAAAAGTAGTTCCAAGTACCTAATACAGAGAAAAGAAGGAGAGCCAACAGATCCAAAATGAGGATGGTGAGTCAGGCAATCGGTTTTGGCTCTGTGAAGTATTTCTGTTATTGTTTTCCTGCAAAACACTTCTGAACCAGTTCATCCACTTATGTGGGTACTCAGTAGAGCTAAAACAACTAATCTCTTCCTTGAGACAGCTGAGTGCTGGCCTTGAGGATCTGTCTGAACTGCTACAACCAACCAGCCAAAAACTGTCAGCACATGAACTGAACTATGGAAGGGATGCGGGAGCAAGGCACTGTGTCAGGGTTTCAGAAGAGTGGTTGGTGGCACAAGCGAATGAAAACAGAACTTGAGACTACACCCCAGCTGATGGAAATTGAGGACCACAGGAGACGTTTCTTGTGAAACAAGCTCCAGAAAGCACTGAAGATCAGGTGAGCATGCATGTGCAGCTATGCTGCTAGCAGCAGTTACAACCTGATCCTGTCGGGAAGCTCAGGATTACAGGCAGCTCCAGGATGCCAATCCCCACTGAAGAAAGATTCTGGGGGAGAGGAGAAAGTATTTATTTTCTTTACAAGGAATGGACTTCATCTATCAAACCTGAGTCTGAAAATTAGGAAGTGCAATTCACCAAGGAAAGACTCTGCAAAATTTGTTAATTATTTAGAGATTTTTTTTTTTTTTTCAGTCAGTCTACATGTACCCTACAACCCACAATCACCATCAAAGGATGGGGACAGTAATCATATCTATTATGTAACTGCAGCACCAAAAGGCTAGGATGCAACACAGTCTTGAGACCCCTGCCTGTTATCAAGGAATCCTTTCAGAAAATACCCACTGACAGTCTGGCAACACCAGCTAGAAAATCCCTGTTACGAAAATAAATACAAAGTAATATATATAAGATGTGTTTTATTAATAGAAGCATGGAAAAAAGTGATGTTATAATATGGGAAGTATGAATTCAACACAAGTGACCTATCAAATCATTTGCAGATATCACTGTTACTTGGTTTTTGACTTTTTTTTTTTTTTTTTTTAACCTTCACCTAAATTTACTGCAGAGTGAAGACTGTAACATCTGTTTGGATTATAACATTTTCTCCTATGGAACTAGAAAAATATTTTAAAATATTTAAGTTCAAGCTGTATTCCAACTTAACAAACATAAAACATTTTTTTGTGACAAGTAACACGTTATGACCTGAAAAAATAGCCTTAAAAATATTTTGGGCTATGTCAGAAGTAGTCTACATGTTTCAATACTTCTTTTTGGAATTAAGTTGAAAACTATAACAGATTGTCCCAGTTTGGTCATTTGTTATGTCATGACTACAGCGTTTTCCAGTGCATACATTCATACAAATTTTTGCAAAGAAATTCACCATTTGTTTCATTCTCTTACTGTGTCTGTATGCAGCAACCTAGAACATCTAAAATATCTACGTAAATTGGGAGAGGAGATAATTCCATTCTTAAAACAGATCTTTTTGTAAAAAACCCTTGTGGATCTTTATTCCTGAAGAATATATCTTATTTCTACACCTTATATCCAGTGACACTGATAAGATCTCTGTGAGAACAAATGGATGAAACTAGTCTTGTTTTGTGCCTGCAGTGATTTGGAGACTATTATTTCTTTCTGTAGTTTTCAAGTTATAATTTGTAAAACGGTATCTTCCATGTTTCCTTGCCAATTCTAGGCAACTGGCAAATAGTGCTAACCTAAACAAGATTTTTTAGTTTGCTGAGTAGGAGGGGCAACTGTTACGTTTTTTTTCTTTTTTTTTTTTTCCTTAAAACACACTGTGCTACATTTATTCACAGTGAAATTACTGTTAAACTCTTGCTAATTCCAGTGACAGCATAAAAATACTTTGCAGTTCTGTATGTGGTGAAAGACTTCGATTATACATACCTCTGAAAAGAAAACAGACAGGATGACTAGGCTGATCCAGTGAATTATTCCTGCAAACTGTGAAGCACTTGAAACTGCAATTAACACAATGAAGCATCATTATAGTAGCAGAATGCAACTTACATTTAATATAATTAGTACTGCTACAACTTACATATGGGTAAAGCTTGCTTTCTTAAATTTTGTAATGGAAGTACCAGAAAGAAGATGGGATGCAATGGGACATGGAGCTCCAGCCCCGTCAGCTGCTCACCCTAAATCAGGCCAGCATGTTAGCAGCCGCAGCAGCTGTTCATCAGAGCTTTTACAGATAAGACTGCTGGTAAGCAATGACATACACGCTTTAGGTCTTTGATGCTCCGTCACCGCTCCATGTTCTCACTCCATGCACTGCTTTAGTACGAGATGCGTGACTAAATCCTGCATACCTAAAAATCCAGAGTTACAATTCTGTAAGGAAACAGAATGCTCCACTATCCCCACATTATTCCTTTTATTCAGTCTTTGACAGCTTGGCTCAGCAGATCAGTAATTGTGTGGAATGGGTACTTAAAAACTAGTGGTCAAAGTGGGCTTCAAACTACATTTCTAATCATTTAAAGAAATAATCTAGGTAGGTAGACTTTTGTACAGCTTTCCAGATGTGGCATGAATAGCCATGACTGACTCAGGATACCATTCCTCTTAGAGTCAAGTTTGACTCTAGAAAAACTGTAGTGAGAAAAGCAACAGAAAGAACCAATGTCATTGGTAATTGTTAATAAGATCAAATCTTAATATTTTTTTTTTTATTTTCAAGAGTTTGTGAAATATCAACAATTTAATTTGTACAACAATGTGACTATTTTTGTACAATCTATTTCAGGAAACATGGCTGTTATATTGACAGCTTTGTCTTTAAGCAAGCATCTATGAGAACACTCAAGACAGTTACAGTAAACAAAATAAAATTCCAGTTTAAGTAACTGGTTAAGACACACAGTTTCCTTTCTAAGCACTTTTCTGCAGAAAGACAGTGACCACTAAAATCACTTACATTCACTGCATTTCAAATTCCTCCATGAAAAGAAGTCTGTAAATGGTAAGTTAAAACGGTAATTTATGAAACTCTGGATTCTACACACTAACTTTCCATATGGGTACTCTTTATGGATACAGATTGTTGAGGTAGCTATTCTACTTTCAAAGGGGAATGACTTTGAACAAAAGTCTTTTCAGGAACTGACTGGCAGGAACACTCAAGAAAACTTATCTGAATTCATTAAAAATATGATTTTTAAAAATAAAGCCTTGCATGGACACTCACTGGCATTAAATCAGGTTTTCATTTGATTCAACTTATTTTGCTTGTAAGTAAGATGAATAAACTCAAACATATGAGTTTGCTGCAAGACTACAGATGAAGCTGTATGATATGGGTTGTCTTTACAATCTTAAATGAATCTCTTGAAATCTGGAGAATTACTTAATAAATAAGTTCAACTGAAATTCTGTGATCAAAGTTCCCTTCATTGCTGACAAAATGAAGCAGAAAGCTGAAAGGGTCCAGTATCTGAAATTATCTCTTTACTTCAGGGCATTTGTGAGTCTACCATCCCTACAGCAGACTTATTAAAATAGTTTGTGCGGTCTTGCAGTTTCAAAGAATTACTGTTAACAGCAAAGTTTATGGTAGTTGATGACTGTGTGCATAGAGATGCAAGAGCGTGGCAGAATTAACTAAATCTCAAGAATATATAGGGCGTGCACTAAATAAAGCATCTTATTTTAAAATTAAAACTGATTAAAAGGAGAAGGGGTGGAAAGGGATAGAGGAAGAAATCAGGATACAAAGAAAACTGTATGGGCTGACACTGGAACTCACAGCTGAGGCTCATCTGGGGCTTGATGAGAGGGTTTGCTGCGGTGCAGCAGCAGAACTACTTAAAGATGAAGCTAATGGGCAAAATATAATATATTTAACTTTCCCAAGACACTGTTTTTATAGGGTGGCATAAAGAGCAAGAAATGGAAACCATTTGTAAGCTATTTTTCAAACAGCTGTCGATTGACATACAAGGCTACAGCTGCCCCTTAGTGGACAGAAAAGATACAGCAACCACAAATTTGGAAAGAAAATCAATTTCTGATGCTGCACTAACTGAAGCAGAGTGCTGGACACGCTGCCAGACAGCAGGCAATTAAATTGCCAGTAAAACAGTAAACTTGAAAAAGCCTTCCAACCAAGTAGCCTCTGTACAAGAGCTGAATTACTAGCTCATACACTGAATCTGGATATTTGCCTCTTCCAAAATACTTAATTTCAAAAACGCAGTGAAAAGCTACAAAAAAATAAGGGTTTTCTGCAAGAGATACTCATCCATGCTCTATGGTGATTTGGATACATCACTGGGATTCAGTTTGAGGCAAAGCACCTAAGGTATTCAGCTTCTACTTTTATCTGGAACAGAATTTCACTTCTGTTGAACTTGCAAGTTTTTTCCCAAAACTGTAGCTTCCCAAGAGCCAGAAAGTTCTGCTTTTTTTCACATTTTGCTTGTCTGGTGCTATGGGGAAGTAGTGAATCGTAAAAGGGTTTGGGTTGGAAGGGACCTTGAAGATCACCTAGTTCCAACCCCCCCTGCCATGGGCAGGGACACCTTCCACTAGCTCAGGTTGCCCAAAGCCCCGTCCAACCTGGCCTTGAACCCTTCCAGGGAGGGGGCAGCCACAGCTGCTCTGGGCACCCTGGGCCACGCCTCACCCCCTGCACAGGGAAGAATTTCTTCTTTATATCTAACCTAAATCTACCCTCTGTCAGTTTAAAACTGTGACCCCTCATCCTATCCCCACCCCCCTGATCAAGAGTCCCTCCCCACCTTTCCTGTCTCCCCTTTAAGCCCTGGGAGGCTGCTCGAAGGTCTCCCCGGAGCCTTCTCTTCTCCAGGCTGAACCCCCCCAACTCTCTCAGCCCGGCCTCCCAGGGGAGCTGCTCCAGCCCCCCCAGCATCTTCGTGGCCTCCTCTGGCCCCGCTCGAGCAGCTCCGTGTCCTTCTGCTGTTGGGGGCCCCCGAGCTGGCCCCAGCACTGCAGGGGGGTCTCCCCAGAGCGGAGCAGAGGGGGAGAATCCCCTCCCTGGCCCTGCTGCCCCCCCTGCTCTGGCTGCAGCCCAGGGCACGGGTGGGTTCTGGGCTGCGAGCTCACAGTGCTGCCTCACGGGCAGTTTTCCCCCCACCAACCCCCCCAGTCCCTCTCCTTGGGGCTGCTCTCCAGCCACTCCTCGCCCAGCCTGGGTTTGTGCTGGGGATTGCCCCAACCCCCGGGCAGGACCTTGCCCTTGGTCTTGTTGAACTCCAGGAGGTTTGCCCGGGCCCCCCTCTCCAGCCTGCCCAGGTCCCTCGGGATGCCATCCCTGCCCTCAGCATGTCCCCCCACACACAGCTCAGTGCCATCAGTGAACCTACTGAGGGTGCATTGATCCCACTGTCCATGTCTCCAAATATGTTAAACAGTATTGGTCCCACTACCAACCCCTAAGGAATGGAAACCCAGATGCTTTTTAGTCATGAAGATGGTTTGGTATAAAATGCAGAGTACAACCAACCTCAGTCTACTTCCTCCCCCTTTGCCTTGCTTTCACATCTCCCCAAAACGTATATCCAGGAGAGAATGGATGAAGAATATATCCTGTAAAATCCCAAGTGGCCATTATAGAAGCTTGTACTACCAACATCTGCTTTTGGTGGATGTTGTTCTTGATGATTTCCTGGCAGATACAAACTATAATGCTTTTACAAGGAGCAGGCAGCAGATGCTCACTGCATGGTTTGGGCAAGCCCTGAACCCATTCTTACTGAGGCACTGCTGCACCACAACGTGCATTTTCTTTGCAGCTATGCATGTACCCAGACAGGGCCCCGATCCAGCAACCAGACAGAAGCAGAGGTTTTCAGCTTCACAGTTTTCAGGAAGACCTCATGCCTTTTACAGGCACACCTGCTGTAGCTGATAGCAGAAGGGCAGCAATACCAAGATGATCTCCTGAGTTGTTTTCCCCCCAAACTACTGAAGATGAAGAATCATGACAGCATGCTCTATATTTCTGAGGAGTGAGGGTTGGAACCTGCCATGACTGTCTTTTTTTGAAATGAGGTGCAAGTGACTTAATAAACATCTATTTCTGCATTTGCAAAACATCACAAGGTATTTAGATGTTACTTTGTTAATGCATGTGAAGAGCTTTGAAGATAGGATGAAAAAAAGCCAATTATAGAACAGAGACCTATTATATGTCCCCTGCTTTCTGGGGTTTCTAGTTCCAGCGTGAATATGCTTTGTGTTAAAATACCCTAAAAGTCTCTGTCCTTTTTATGTGAGTGACCTACGCATTTGCAAACGTGGTCTCCATCACTGACAGTTTTGTGTATGGGAGAAGCACACAGTGCAACCAAAGACTACAATAAAAGTATGAGAGGAAAATGATGCTCTCAGAATGTCACAGCCAAAGAAAACACCAGTTGTTTTTTTTCTGAGGTTTGTTCTTTTTTTTTTTTAAAAAAAAAAAGGAAGAAAGAAAAATGAGAGGTTTCCTAAGTAATTACAGTCTATAATGTGGATTAGCAGTTCTTATTATGAAATTGGCAGTGATGTGCTGTAACATATTCTAATGCATTGGTTAATTTCATATAGAATCAGGAATAATTTGAAACTCTAATTACATTTTTGAAAAACATAATTATGGCCTAAAGGCTTTTTTAAATTTTAAGGTAAGTGACATGCATTCCTCATACTACATAACTGCAACATTTGTATCAGTCCTACCAAGATAGCCTTTATCTGATTCAAAACAAAATAGAAGGTATTCAACTTAAAGGCAAGAAGCCTGATGGGTTGATCCATTAGTTAAAATACAAAGTAGCGAAACAGAGTAGATGGAAGGGTCCTTTCTCAAGCGCTGAGAAAATTCATACAGGCAGAGCCAGCCTCCAAACAGCAAAATCACCTGGCTCAACCGAACACCTATAGGTCATGCACAAGGTGTAAGCTGCAGAGCTTTTAAGTGTATCATATGTACTAGACACGTATAGGAGGAATGATCCCTAAAATAAAGCTTTCTTTAGAAGATTCTTCAGAAAATAAATGATAAGAAAGCAGGTGCTTCCAGAGAATAGCCTCCAAAACTGTGTTAAAAATCTAAAGAGAGATCAACAGAAACAGTTTTTAAACTCTTTGGCTCTACAGGAAATGACCGTTCCGTATATAAACAGAAAGATGTGGCACCTCAATAAATACTCCTGAAATAATCTTCCTCATTCAAGTTTTAAGGATTTATAACCATGAATTAGCATTCATGACATTTTTTGAAAGCAGCAGACTTGTCCAAATTCTGTGCTTCCTCATCCAAAAAGATAAGCCAGACACTACAGAAAATTACAACTGTAACAAAGCAGCTATGCTCAGAACAGTGTGTACAGTATGGTCAGGGGTATAAATGGTGGACAACAGTGTAGAAAGACAGCTTAGTCATTTATTCATCTTATAGGTTTTATAAAATGTCTGCAATTATTGATAAAGTCCCCTAAAGTAATACTAATACAATTGCAATACCTAAATCTTTGTAGTGAAATTTAACTCCACTAATATCAATAGAGAAAAAAAAAAAAAAAATAAAAATTCACAAAAACAAAAGGACTTCAACAGAATAAAAGATTCATTTCCTCAGTTGCCATAGAATATACCAGACCATGACTCTCTCATGCTAAGTGTTCTTGCATTTTTGGGATTGTCTGAACCCCATTGCTGCCATTTCAACATATCTGAAATTGTATGGAGATGCTAGATTTGTGTCATAAAAGCATTAAAAAAAAAGGGGGGGGGGGGAAAGAGTGGAGAATGAAGGAAAAGAGCAGTAAAAAAAAAAAAAAAAGATCAATTAGTAAGTGAAACAGCAGCATTAAAATTTCCATTGTGGAACCTGCGTAGAGTGAATTCAGATAAAGCAAAACTCCTTGTAAGCCAATATTTGACTCCCAGTGTATTAGCAAAGTAGAATGAAAATCTGTATCATTTCAGTGCATTACAATATAGAAAACCATAACTTCAATTCCTACCCACCTCAGTAGAAGTAATAATAGAGATAGCACCAAATACCCTAGCAAGTTCATCACTTCTGTCTATCCACATGCATGTGAAAAGTATCAGAAATTAATGATGCACAAATGATCCTTCTTCTCTGTATACGGAGTATGTCTGTAAAGGACAGACCTTTTCAAGTACTCATGACAATACGTGTGGATCTCTGCACGTACACTCTGCTTGTATCCTTTGAAAGTTTTTCCTGTACTGAATTTGGTCAGCAAAATAAGGAAGAGACTGACTTCACTATACTAGGGTTCCACAAAACCACACTTCTTGCCTATCCTAGTAATCATTTAAATGGTAGGAAAAAAAAATCCCCACCATCCTCCCCCCTTGAAAAACCTCCCCAAAAGTTAAACCTTTATTTCATCAATATTTAAAAAAAAAAAAAAAAAAAATCCTCCTACTCACACTGAAGAAGCTTTATATCTATTAGGAGTTCCAGAGTCAGAAGAATCATCACCAATACTACACAGGCTACCAGGAAACTGTTGAGACTTGCACTGAGCAAAAATACCTGCCACACAGCTGCTCGTCTCCCACAGCATGGTTTTAGCCAGTTAGATCTAGGGAAATAAAATTAAGAGGAAAAACAAAAAAAGAAAAGAAAGGAAAAGTGAAAAAGAAAGAGAGCTAAAGCGCAGTGAACTCAAAATTACAAGTTGTGCTGTTATGGATATACTCAGCAATAATGTACAAAGACTTCAAAGCTCACTTTTCTTGGCTTCTTTACCAAGAAAAACACATCACAAAAAACTTCACCCTATGAATCTTGTGTCTCTCTCCAACCCTCTAAAGCATACCAGTGTTCAAGTGCTTTCCAATGCACTGAGTAACGCAACTCTCATTCTCATACATACTCTTCTGCTTTCTTCCTGTCTTACTATTTTTTCATGTGTTTTTATTGACATACACACTGCATTCACTTATCTGCAAGTACCAAGGCATAGCAGGACTCTACTATTAGGTTAGAAGCGAATGATGTTTTTAAAGAATTTATCTGCTATTGAATTTTATGTTCATGCACCTTTATCCCTGTTCTACTATGAGACAAATCAGACAAGAGCTGCCAAAATTAGTTTGCGACAATCAGTCCATGACATCATGGAAAAGAGCAATAGCAATCTGGAAAACACTGAAGAATAAGCTCAGTGACTCCACAGCTACATCTATACGAGCAAATATACACAGCCTGGCAAAGCCTCAAGCCACTGGCCAAGGCTCTCTAGTTTATTTGTGTAACTTTCACCAATCTGTTTGTGGACCTTGTTCAAGGACTCTCCCAGAGTTCGGGGTAGCACAGTTTTGGGGATAGCACACACCAAGGACTGCTCCCAAACCTAGTTTAGATGAGATCACCTTGTTTTGGAAGAAAAAACAAGGTTTAGGCATGATGAAGGGACCTGTAAAGAAGCTAGAAGGACCAGAACTCTGGAATTAAGTTGATGAATCAGTAAATGCTGCACTAGTATTGTGCTAATGCAGATATACATTTTCAAGTGAGTTGTTTAAAAAAATAAATTATTATTTTCTTCTTTTGAAAATATTTGTAATAGGAATAACAGTAGCATGGACTTCAGAAGTATAAAGCCCATCCTGCTACTTTTTTTTCTCCTAAAATGCCCCCATAGTTTCAATCTTTATCTTAAAGAGTATTGTATTATTTCTCATCACAGTGTTCTGTAATGTTCTTGTACTGACCCACCTCTGAAAGTTCCGATGCTTGCCTGACACTTCGTATTTTCAAAGCACTGTAAATATGCATTAGCTAATAAAGAGCTAACATGATTTAGTAACTAGGGTTTAAAAAGCTGCAAGCATATGAAAGTGTGATGTAGAAACTGCACTGTCTGAACTAAAATATCAATACACAGAAACCAATGGCATACAAGAAGATATGATGATACTGATCAATTCGAAGTAACTCTAGAGCTAATAACTCATGTTATAATCAAACACTTGGAAAAACATCACAAAACACACCCTGACATACCCACCCTCAAAAATAAGGGAGAAAGTGATGCTCAGCAGTACTCAGAGACTTGACACTTTCAAGCAGCTTCTCAGAATTCAGCATATCAGCTAAATACTTGTACTCAGATTGCCTGATTATCTGACCTTGAAAGACCTCCTCAATTGACTCTTAAAACTTCAGAGAAGATTTGACAAGCATTACTATCAGGAGCTTGCCCTTAGTTTATCTATATGTTATGGTTCTAGCCTGAATACAGAATGCACTAGATTTTAAATAGGTATTTTTAAAACGTAAGAGAAAAAAGGCATTGGGATAGAGTCTTTCTGCAAACTTCATCTTTTCATGGATTTTATTTTACATCATCTCAAAACAGGATAACTTGCCTTTACTACAATTGTTATTTGGGTTTGGGGTTTTTATTTTTAGATCTTTCTAAAAACAATGCTACGGAATGGCCCTGTTTAAACAGAACAGTTTTTAGTTCTATTCTTTTCCCACTTTTCCCTTTTCCAAAAAAGGACCCATTTTGCCAGCATTTTAATATTGCAGGACAGTTTTTCCTCTTTCCTATTCTCAGAATGATCAGTAGAGGGCCTTAGTACATTCCTTTAAAGGCTCTATGTACTCGAGATTTTCAAATATACCAAATGTACCAGTAAGAATAAATCAGCTGTGACACTCAGCACACACTACATATAGCCACAATAATCATTATCCAAGCTAGTCATTACTCAGAGAATGTTAAAGAACGTGGAGTTATTCTGTCTGCGCAGTAGTAATATTCCACTGACTCCAAAAAGCTTCTGAATTAAACTATCGGTTTACAATCAGAAAATCAATCAACACAAGAGGTCAAGTGCAGATCATCTGCATCTTTACACCAACGTATCACTCAAAAACACACAAATTGATTGCAAAGACACGAAAGTGCTAGAAATTTAAGCACTGAAAAAAACCCTCCTGTTCCGTATCTTAATTTATTACACTAAGGTGCATTTGTTCAACACTTGTCCTGTGAGTGGACAGTGATTAGCATCTTCACACCACTGCCTACCAGACCTCTTCCCAGACCTCCAAATCCACCGACATTAACAACCACACTATGCTCAAAAAGGAGCACTGGACATTTTAATTCCTGGGTGCTGCTTAGATACCTCATTGTCTGCTACTTCTCAACTCCTGTATAGTAGAGTCCTGGTCTTGCCTTGGGTTGCTGCTTTATGGTTGTAGGGCTTTTTTTACTTTTTACCTCTTGTAAAGGATGGACATAAATAATAAAAGGAACTATAATCCAACTAGAAATATATTTTAGATAAATCTGTTGACATGCTAAGCACAGACTCCTAATACACAGATCTCGTCTCCTTCAACCCTGTAACCTGTCTTAGTAGAGTAGTATCTCTCCCTGCTGACGTGTAAGGGTTCCTCCAGTCAACAGATGAGAAATGTGCTATTTGAGAAAAACAAATCCCTCCCCAAATTAGCATGGGTTTAAACTTACCTTCCAAATCCTGGCCATTTCACCTGTGATACTGCAAAGCTACACTAAGTTTAAAGCTCAGGCTAGAAACTGACATATACAGACCTTTCCAAAAGAGAAAAAAAAAAAAAGTAACTTACACAGCTCAATTTTATGAAGAGATTACATATTAACCATATAGAAGTCAAACACTTTTTTTTTTGTCACGGTCTGGAGTGAGGGGAAAAAAGTAAAAAGTGTCCTATTTTGTTCAGAGAACAAGTACAACTTCTTTGGTGTCCTGTGTCATCTGTGGATGCCATGCACTATATGGATACCAGTAAAGTATGACTTAAAACAGCTTTACTGCATGACTTCAAACAGGTTCATTAGGTACCTCAGTTACTCCGTCTCTACAACAAGAATACTATTTATCATTTTTACAATGCCTGGATGAAGTAAATAGATGTACTAGCATGGGAATTTCTTGGTTGATGGCAATACAGGGCTGTAAGATTTTGTTATGACACATTAAAATATACTCAGTGAAATTTTACCGGGGTAATACTTTTTAAAGATACTTGCACACATGGCTTTGTGGAAAACCAATCTGCCATCGTCACTGCTAGTTTTATTAATAAACAGCTTGGAAAAAAGAACAGAAGGCGAAACTGGGAAAGGTTTAACATATTTATTTTGTAAGGAACCACTACAAACAATTTGTTCAAGCTGTTAACAGCTGTCACTGTTTCTATTTTGCAGTCTTGTAAACAAATACCCCAAAACCTGCATCATACCTTACCCTCTTTTTTTTTTTTTTTTTTTTTTGGACAAACCACAAGTGTTTGCATCTCCCAAGATGGCTATGATCAGAAAACAGAAGGATGGATGGGATCCAAATCACTATCTGAAGGAGCAAAAAGCCCACAGTCAGGAAGTGACAGGAACACAGAAGGGCTAAGTAACAATACAAAATCTGGCTGAGACAAAACAGACAGCAGACCCTCCCAGCAGGTTACAGGAGCCACTGGAGGCCTTGAACAAGTCCAAGGAACAGAGAGCTCTGCATCCCCCTTGACTGAACCTCTATCAGCTTAGTTTAACTGGAGTTTAACTATTGAGAGCACCCTCATGCTTTTTTCCCCTAAAAGTTTCACTATTTCAAACCCCATTTCTTGCAAGATTGCTGCAATACTCTGTTCCTCAAATGTCAAGAAAATAGCAAGAAAGATTTCCCCTAGTTTTCTGCCTAAACTCACACCTATCCAGTTTATATATATTTGCTTTTGTGCCAATATTGTTCTTCAGCTTGATTAGTTCTTTTCCCTTGCTGGCATTTTTTCCGTGATGCATTTATACACAGCAATGGCATCCACTCATGTAATTTAATTAAAGCCATGCTTTTTGTAAGAGAGACACTCAGTTTCTATAACCATCTTAGTAGTCCCTTCTGCATGTGAATACAGACAACAACTGGAGTGGTACATAACATTTTGCAATAGGTTTAATTATATGAATGCTTCCCAGCTCTATCTGAAGTACTTCATGCTTTCTAGCATCATTTGTGCCTTCTTTATAGGCATATATCACACCATTTGCTCACAGACATCATGTGATTACCTGGTATATTACTCCTCATTAGAAAATTGCATATTAGGCTTTTCCTTTTTACGCGAAGTTCTTTAGCAAAGTATTAACATCATGCTCAAAAACAACCTTTAAGAAACGTAAGAACAGCCATACTAGGTTACAACAAAGGCTTGGTATCCTCTCTCCAATAGTGGCCATGAGCAGATGTCTCAAGACGAGTAAGAACACAGCAAACATATAAACTCTCACAGCATCCAATTATTTTTCAACTCGGTGACTTCCTGAGACAGATGTGGTTTCTTGGATTCTATTTACTAGCCTCCAATGAATTTCATTTCCACAAATTTATCCAACCTCCCCCTAAGGCTATATAAACTATTAGCAACCAGACATCCTTTAGAAAGTAGTTCCACAAATCTACCGGCCACCGTGCAAAGGGCAACGTCTTTCTGCTTCTTTTGAACTGGAACTTAATCTATTAAGGTACCCTAGCACCTGTATGGGGGTGTGTGTTTCAAACTTTATTTTAACCTCTGTGTCAC